CTTCTAATCCCATCAAATTTAATCCATTTCCAATAGGCATAGCAATACAACGATTTATTGCCGTTTGCCTAATAATAATATTATTATTAAATATAAATAAATGCAAATGTAAGCATATAAATAATTAAATATATGTATATGCTAACACGTAATTCTTACTTTATTGGAAAACCAAAATTAATCCCTGCATATAAATCTTTAGTTTCCAACTCATATCCCACATCGTTTAATAATTCTTTAACGTTTAAGGCCACCCAATCAAACAAATCACCAACATTTCCATTTTTTAATTCGGCAGGAATTTCATGCTGTTTATGTTCGATATCTGTTTTGCCAAGGCCAATCAATGTTACTACAGCTGCCCTCAAATAGGTATCACTCAACTCCAAAGCAAGATAAGTTCCAACCTCTATACCAGTCGGTAACCGTGAAACATACGAAGGGATCATTGTAAAATGATTTGTTGTCAATCCATTATTAAATGCAGAAAGAAAACCGTCCATAATCTTTTCGACCGCGGGTCCATCTAGTATTGTCATTTCCTTTAATTCTGTTAACGTCGGAGTTGGTTCCTCCATAATAATAATTGATGGTTATGGCAAAATAGCAATGTGTGTGATAGTTGGCAATTCAATATGATGGTGGTGACAGTGGTATTGCAGTAGTAATATTTATTTTATTTATTTTTAAAAGAAAGAAATAAAAATCCTCAACCATGAACATAAACTCTATGATTGGATAAGTTGAGGTTTTACAAGGCCTTTTCTTCCCAATATAGAAGTAATAGGTCAAGTACTACGCTGAGGTCACCAAAAGGAAATGTGTGATGAATAATTTAATAAAATCATCTACTAATTTGCAATAAAAAATTCAATTGGTGATTTCAGCGACCTTTCCATTCCATTTTAAAAAAAAGTTTATCTACCTGCCAACCTTCCTCGGATCTTACTTCTGGATTTGTGAATAAAGAATAACCCTGTTTCCATGCCTCCGATAATATAGTAATGCACATATAAGCACTTAGAGATACCAAAAATAAATTATGTAAAATGCTTAATCCTTTCACACTCATTTTTTCTCTGCTGGACATTATAGCCTTACCACCAAAAACAACGACAAAGTAACCAATAACAATTAAAATCACGTGAAACGGAGATTTAGTGAAAATGTTTTGACGTTGATGCAGTCTTGCTAAACTACAGGGCCATGCGCCAAACCCCTGGAATTCAGTTGCATAATTATATAATAGGACGGAGCAGGTCAGATTAGCCTTTGTACAGGAGGAACATGTGAGAATGACTGTATGATGTTCAAGATAGCGTGAGTGCTTCAATCAAACATAACTTATTAAAATGTTTCTTTTTCAATGATATACTGCCTTGACATCTTGTAATTAATTATAATATAATAATATTAATATTAATAAGATTACGAAAAGCAAAAGCGAAATACCAATTGTCATCAAGAATCTTATTATTACCCAGCAAGATCTGCTCGCGTTTTGATTTCAATAACTAAAAAAAAAGTGACTCTAGTTAGTTATTAATACATATTCAGAACCAAGCCATATCATACCAAACAACATCACTCACATCACTCACATTTTGTCACCTTGGACTCTGTTGAAAAATAAATTGTTTCCAAAAAAAAAATTTAAAATCTTTAACATTTTTGTTTTACGTGTTTTTCTTTTTTTTAAAAAATTTAAAACAAAAAATGTCAAAATCTAGTACAAGAAAACGAACTCAAAAAGTTGACAGGGGAGCTGGACGTGGGTAAGTGTTTATCATAAGAATGGTGGCTGTCGCCACTTGCCGTCACTCTAGTTAAATAATTAAGTTGTGTACTTGTCAATGAATTAGCAAAAAATTTAATTTTTTGTCTTTGATTGGCATCAATAAAAAAAGGAAAAGAAACGTGGTGGAAGGAGATGTTGAAATAAAAGTTGGAGGTGAAGAAGGGGATGTGAAAACCTTTAAAGCCCATTCTAAAATTTTAAAAGTAGAATCACCATATTTTAAAGCTGCTTTATCTAATGATTGGGTAAAAAAATCAGAAAATGGCATGATTTTATTTGAAAAAAAAAAAAATTTCACCAAAAATATTTGAAGCTATTTTAATGTAAGAATTATTTAATCTAATATAAATATAATTTTAATTGGTTTGGCTTGGTATTTAATATTTATTTATTTTTATTTTTAAAAGATATATCTACTATGGGATTCCTAATCTAATCTAGATAATTTGAATCCAGATGAAATTCTTAAGCTTATTGAAGCATGTGATGAATTAAATGTTGATGGCTTACTTGAAGATTCACAAAACCATTTGATTATTAAAAAAAAAGAATGGTTACAACAAAATTTAATTCACATTTATCAAATTTCATTAAATCACCCAACACTCAATTTACTTGATGATTATTTTGACAAGATAATTTTATATAATTTAGGTTTGTTTTTAAAATTTGTAGGTTTTAAAAATGTTGAAAGTCCTACATTTATGTCTATAATAGAAAGAGATGGTTTAGAATTAAAAGAAATTGAAATTTGGGTTATTGTTGTCCAATGGGGAATAAGTCAAAATAAAGAATTGGAAAAAAACATTGTTAAATGGAAGAAGGAGGATTTTATCATGTTGAAAAATATATTGGAGGATATATCCGCGAATTGGAGATCAGCATAGAAGTATTTCGGAGAAATGACATAGTCTTGTGAAACAGCATTAATATTCGAAATCAGTAGTCTACGCTTTCACCATTATTATTTGGATTGATTTTTGATAAGCTTTCCAGCATTTGAGATAATAGATTTTTGTATAATCCTCACTATCCCATATACCTTCTACATTAAATCCCATATTTTCTTTTATATGATCTTTATTACATATGGGGCATATCTCTGAACAAGTAAAGTAATCGCCAGATTCATTACTATATTTCAAAGATAAAACGGGGAACCGCTCCAATGCCATTTTGATAACATGTTTTTGTTTCTCTTTTGGATCATTGGGTAAAATAGAGATTTATTGTCAGAGGTAGTCACAAGATGGCTAGATGTAGGTATACTTACTTCAGCTTCTGGTAATTTCAAGGAAGCAAAGTTTCGAGCTGTTGACCCATCTTCTTGGGATAAATCTATTGTAGAGCGGTCGTTAAGCAATTCTTTGAATCATGACCCTTTGGGTCTAAAGGAATTGATTCAGTAGGTATACTTACCTCAATTTTGGGTAAGTCATCTGAATCGTTTTGGTCATCAGTATATTCTATGTCAGGCTTTTTAGCAAAATGATCAATAATAGTCTGAATCTGTAAATTAGTAAACCTTGAAATAGTATCTGCGCTATAGGTTTTGATATGTTGAATTTTATTTATTCCAATTTTTTCAAATAAATTGTAAATTTTTAAAGCCTTTTGTGTTTGTTTACATAAATTTCCATGCTTGATACCAGGAACTTGCTTGATAATAAAATCATATACTCGACCCTTCACTTTCTTCTCCCCAATTTCATCATTGATCATAAAATCTTTAACCATGCCTTTGAATCTTTTAGCATACAAACACCAACATGATATTTCACTTTGATTAGCTTCGATTGCATCTTTTTCCGCAACACATGCATTTTGATATAGACAGATAATATCCTGGGTCTCAAAGTCTCGGGTTATTTCAGAATTATCACAATTTGGACGAACATTGTTCGCTGAAATTTCAGAATTATCACAATTTAGATCTTTGATAGATGATGATATTTCTTGTATTAAACCTTGCTCACGCTAAATATTAGGAGTACTATTCTCAGGAGTTGAGAGTAATTCTTGATCTCGAAGTTTCTTCTCCCTAATTCTCAGAATTATCTCTTTACTAACCTGTTCCTCATATATTGAATCTACGAATTCGTCCATTTCCTTGTCTTCCAATGACTTACTCTCTGTGCAGACAGGTGATGCGGGATATTGGGATAAAAGCTCCTGATTTGATTCGATATAATTTATTCGAATATTATCATTCATTAGTATTAGTATTAGTATTAGTTATATTTATTGTTTAGATTTAATTAATTTATTAATGAATTATGCAACAGCAAATTGTATTACTTTTTTATTCGTCATTACGTTATCATCATTGTTATCAATAATAATGATATTAGTGATGGTGACTGAAACTACCTTACTTAATGGGCCGAAATTGCCGAAATTAATTAGCCGAAATTAATTTTAATGGCTGAAATTTATTTGGGCACCTTCTAATTCATATGTTCAAGTCAGGTGACTGGCTTGCAAAACATTAATCCCGTTTGCTGAGCTGAAACCAATTTCTACAACTCTTGCAGTATGAACAAATACCTTCTGCTATTAAAATGCTTTTCAATAAAAGATAGTAAATGGGTTTATAGTATTAGTATATACCCTAAACTATTTAATTTACCATCTGCTTTCACTAATGGCTCAAACCCTTTCCCGAAAAACTGCCCCACATCATCTACTTCCAAATTTTACAGCCGAAGTCATGTTTTCAATATTAAATTTAGTACCAGAAGTTCTCCAAATGTGACTTGGTTCATCATTATATATTGTGAATCTATATACTTTTGTCACTCTAAACAACTGACCTCCATTTTCTTCTCTTTAATTTTTGTTACTTAAAAGTGGCTTTGCCGCAAGAACATGAGAAAAACAATTTATTCATGTAAAGCTCTTCTAATAGTCCTGGTTGAAACATTGATACTTGTTTTTTTTTTATTAATTTTATTTTTATTTGTTCGGCAGTTTTCGATTATTTTGATTGTTGATTAATTATGATAGCCACTTCGATTAGTGATAAGATCTTTTTCATCAAGACACAAAATAATTCTAATTATCCGTAATTGGGCACATCATTTTGGGTTTAATGTTTTCAAAAATTCTATAACACTACAATTTTTGAAAGTTGTATGACCATTTTGATAATGATAATGATTTCGCCAAAATTTTTTGTGTAAGTCATTTAACCAAATTTGTTTTTTTTACAATGATCATTAATTGCTTCAAAATACTAAAACATAAAAATTTTATATAATTTTAAAAAAGTTATTAATAGACTTTATTGTTTGTGACTCAAGCTTCAAAACTTATCGGCTAGTTTTTCTTAAACTAAAAATTGGCAAAGAAATCTATTATATATGTATATATTTGAGGTTTCTTCATGTGCTTCTATTGATATTATTTAATATATAAATAAATTTTCCACTTGCGAAATTTTTTTTTCAAAAAATTTTCTTTATATATTTGAAAACGATTATTTTTGTATATACTCAATTCAACATCCAAATTTCACAAAAAATTCCTTCCCAAAAAGATATTTAGTTTTAGAAAGTAATTCATTAATTCATTAATTCTTAATCCTTCATCTGTTGTGTTTTATTTACATATACACGAACTCATATATATTGTGTTAGTCCAAAGCATATAAATACTCAATACTAGTCAATTATTCTCCCACAAAATGGATGATGATAAAGATCTTGAAACTTTTTTTTCTCATTTATCCAAAATAAACAAGATTTGACTGTAAATCCTATGTAGGAAAAAACTTTTTAATGTTGGAGAGACTTTAACACTGCTTGCTTGAGAGAATATGCAAAATGATAATATATGACCCAAATAAATGCCATACATAATAGTAATAATAAATTGATTCAATATAAATCATAATAAAATTTAGTGTTAAATTCCAGCTTTTTCTAATATTGAATTTATTTTTTGATTAACAATTCCAACTTTTATATCTAACAATCCTTGTGATGATAGTTTTATTGATGGAGGCTGGTATGCTGGTCATAATTGCTTTAGAAAATCAATGAAATAGGGAAGCTCAATTATATGTAAAGGAATATTGCAGCAGACAAATGCCTTGATTAAAGATCTGTTGATTGAATTTTCACATTCTTTTGTTAAAGCTATAATTTCATAGAATGAGGAAATATTAGTTTGTCCACTAACATTAAGATTTTTTTGTAAATTTGCTTTTGTTTTATTATTTAATTCTTCAAGACAATTTTTTCTAGTTTGAGAATCACAACTTATACAATGGTTTGCTAAATGTGCTAATAATTTTTGTGGTTCTCCATGGTTATATTATTTAGCACAATAATTACATCTTGCACTATAATGGCTGTTTGAATTTTTTACCTGTATTTTTGAGAAATGTTTCCAAACATCAGAATGAGGTCGTCCTGCTTGAGTTGATCTCATATACTGTGGAAATGGAGAGGGTGTTTCTTGATTATTGGTGAACATAATGACAAAGGTTCCTTATAAGTGAACATAACGTTAAAAAAATAATTTCTGGTTACTATATCAATCTCTTGCCAATTTCACATTTCGTCAAATGGGACAAAATTAACAACGGGTTGACGAAATAATTCTCCACCCTACAAAGTATTTCGTCAACCATTCTTGTTAGATAAATATCTAGTTCAATTCTTGAACAATTTTATCTATTTCAATTCTGAAGGCTCAGTTCCATATATTCTTTTTTTTTGTTGAATTAGGGTTGATCTTATTATATAACTTGGATACAGTATCGGTTTGATTTTTTTTGAATTTCTCTACATTGGCAAAGTATCCTTGATAAAATTCATTATCTTTGTGTCATTGCAATCTTTTACAATACGCAATATATACTTTTTACTATTAGCAAAAATTGTATTTTCATCTATTTTTGAGGATTTTGTTTCCATCATATAATCTATGACACCACAAGATAATAATTGGACTGAAATGATCATTATCAATAAATAATTTATTATTTCATTTAAAAAAGAAAAGACGCGGGAATTTTTTTATTATTAATATGATTTTTAATTTGAAATAATAATGATAAGTTTAATCTTGATTGGCGGACCACGAATTAATATTAATATTAAGGAAACCCGTAAAATATTTTGTTAGGATTCCATTAAGGATTCTGCGGGCGGGGAAGAAACCCTATTAATAATAAATTAAAGGAATCCTTAAGCCTAAAACATTACTGATATGAGTCAAAATGAATAATTAAAATTTTTGGGGCGGGTTTGGAATACATATTCCGATTGACTTATTTGAATTTCACGCATAATAAATCTGTCGTATTTTATACACAAATTCTCGATAATCTATATTGTTTAGTTATAAATATTCAATACTAGTCACAAAATGGATAAAAATACAGATCTTGAAAAATTTTTCTCTTTTGTTTTACTATTTGCTGAGGCATGTTTATCTCCCCTGTTCCAAAAAAACTGGATCGTTATTTGGATAGAGTATTAGATGTAATTTATATTACATATGTATTAATAGTTTTCATATTTGGAGTGATACAAAGTGCCTCCAACCCAGATGATGATGATGTTAATGAAATGAGACATTCAATTTTTCCAGTAGAAATCGGCCTAATGATTATCATAACACTCATCTTCTCCATTGCAAATATTATATGGAATAGCAAGATAATTTGTATCAGCAACTTTTATCTAAACTATATAATTATCCCAGGTCTATTTTGGTTTATACGATTATCGATAGTTTAGACTATAAATACACTGGTGAATATATGCTTGTTATGTACATATTGGAAGCAACCTTCTTCATTTCAATTTTATCTTTTTTCATAAGAAAGATATTAACACTACGAAGAATTATAAACGATAGAAATGATGTCAAGGAAAATTTCTCATTCAAACAGTGAGTTTAGTTTCAATAACCCTTTTTCTAGTGTTATCATTTGTTGTTATTGTTGATAGTACATTTCATTTTGTCTACAACTTGCTTTTATTAACTCTAAGTGGATCTGTTGGAAACATCATTATCAGAAGACTCTTTTTAACGAATGCCAGAATTAACAAAACATCTTGTATCGACTATTATCTATCAGATGAAAATAGAAATGAAGAAGAAATTGAGATACCAACAGCATTATCTACCTAATAAAAAAAAAACAATAAATATATGTTAA